TTACCTCTTCATACTCCATTCATCGTTCCTGGAGTTACCCCTCAACATCCCACTGCCCTGCAGGGATATGAGTGCAATCGTCTTCTGGCCTTGACTGTGGTCTCTTTATCTTCTGAGTGCCAGGCGCCCTGAGGTGACCAGTCAGTAGTGGAGAGCGAGCTAGAAGCCCCAAGCCCAACCTGCCCCTCTCACACTATGGCTCTGAAGGTGGCTGAACCAGCCCACGCCTCCAGATTTGCGACCAGTGCAAACAGCAGGTTCCATGCCCTTGCCCCAACACTCCACCTTTCCTCCACCCTCGGGGGTGGGGTGGTGTCTTTACAGAGCTGGGGCCAGGAGACCTGGGTTCTAGTGGTGAGCCCTCCCTTGATGACCTTGCTGAGACTGAGTTGCCCATCTGCAGAGTAGGGTAGCCTGGCCGACTCCCCATCTCTGAAATCCCGTACCTGTTCACCTGGCCAGGCCCAGCCTGCTCCCTGCAGAGGGGAGGACCACAGGGGATGCAGAATAGGCTCCGCACCTGGATCCCCTCCTGGCCCCTCCGCAGCCCCTTCGGACACCTGCCCAGCCCTCTGGCCCCACCCACCTGTCTCCCAGGTGAACATTCCAAGCCTCACCATTGGCTTTCTGGCTGGTTCCAAACAGTTGGGGAGAGTACCCTGTCTCCCAGGGCAACAGAATTCCTGCATTTAACAGTTCCCTCAGGTCTGCACAGCAAGGACTTTTCTCTCTTTCAAAATGTCTTTCTGGTCATATCATGACCCCACCTCTGGAGGCAGTGAGCCCTTGGAGGACCTACTGTGGCCCTGAATGCAGGTTGGTCTATGAGGGACAAGGAGCCCTGGGACTGTCTTTGGCGGCCACTGAACATGAGGGCCCTACAGTTCAGGGGAACTGCTGGAAAGCACCCACTACACAGGAGCCATCTGGCCTCTGGGTCCTAGAGCCAAGCTGCCTGGTTCATCCTGCCCTCCCTGTTGGCCAGCCTTCAATGTCCTCAGCTGTAGAATGGGATGATGACAGGGCCTGGCTCCTGGGGCCATTGTGGAGGGCCTGAAGGAGGATGCATGCAAAGCTCCAGTTCCCAGTGCTCTCGGCAGGGAGACGCTGCAGCCTCCCTCTGCAGACCGGAGGCCTCTGGGCATGCTCAGGGTTGCTTGTGAAAACCCAGCTGGCTGGGGGCGGAGTTGCTTCTACCTCTGACTTCCTGTGTAGCTTTGGGTTTCTACAACCTCTCTGGGCCAATGTACTAGGAATGGAGGAACAGGGAAGGACAGCCACTTCCTCCTCCTCTGACCTCCAAAATTGCCATACTGAGGAGTTGACCTCACTGTCTCTCCAGGTGGAGGACAGGGGCTGTGCACCTTTCCCCTTCCCCAGGAATGTCTTGGCAAGGAGTCTGGGGAAGGCGAAGGGGAGGGGCAGGGAGGGGACAGGGAGGAGTGTAAAGTGCCCCTGAGGTATCTGCAGCCTCCAACAGATGTCCCTTCCTCTGCTCTGCAGACCCTGGTGCTTCACTCTTGCATGACTGGGCCATGAGCCTTCTACGTATGCCGAGCCTTCCCTGGGTCTGTGCCCAACACCCACAGTGGGGAGGCAGGAGGACCCGAGGGCCTGAGAAGTGGCAGGATCCCATCCTGATGGGCCCTTCAGGAGCTGGGGCAGGGAATACAGGAGCTGAGCCCTTGTCTTCAGACTCTTGCCACCCACCTCGGAGCCTGGTCAACCCTAATCCTGCAGACCAAGACAGGGTCCTGCATAGGGGTGATATGAAAGGGAAGCAGGTGAGGAGAGGGGTCTTCTGCTCTGCGAATCCTCACCCTGTGGGTGCTCCCTAGTGGTCAGTCCCATCTTAGCCAGGAGGGTCTGGGATCCAGACCGCAAGGGCAGCATGCCCCATGGAGTGAGTGTGGACTTTGGAGGTGGCCATGTGTGCGTTGGGATCCACACTTAAAAGTCCCTGGGTTTTCCCTGTCTGTAGAGCCCACCAGGATCCCACCCAGGATCAAGGTGAAGGATGAAGGAGACAATACTGGCTCTTGCAGGGCCTGACACACAGTGGGTGCTTATTATTGCCATACCCAGGGCCCAGGGAAGTAATATCACTTCCAACGGGCTTCTAGGGGACCTCATCTCCAGGAAATCACTTCCAGGACCTTACTGTTTAACTATGCAATCGAGACCAGTGGCCTCTGTCTTTCCACAAAGGGACATGACCAAAATGGCCGGAGCCCCCTTGAACTTTCGGCCAGGACAGCATCCCTGCCCTGGAGGAACAGCTGGGCCAGTGGAGTCTGCTGTTCCAGGCACTTGGGGTGTTGGGTGATGGGAGATGAGATGCATGTCCTGAAAGTTAATATCTTCCTTACATATGAACAGAATGCAATAATGATGATCATATGGGTAGAAGGTGTTGAAAGCGTGGGGAGTCTCAGAGGTGGGGAATGTTTCGTGGGAGCCCCAAGTTCATGGTGAGGGAGGTCACTGTGGGTTAAGAGGCCAGGGAAGATTTCTTCCCAGAAATGAAAGTTCATGCGGGGGCCCTAGGGAACCTGTGTGTTGGCTGGGGTTCTGCCATGTGGTCAGACAGTCCATGAGGGCAACCCCATGGCACTGGCTCAGCTACCTGCCAATTTTGGTCTGAGTCTAGGAATAAGGACTAGGAATAAACCACCAACTCACCGAACTGGAGAAGAATGACCCCTTCACTGGACCAGGGACACAGGCCAATGGCAATGGTAAAGGTGAGGGTGTGGCTCGGGGAAAGCCAGCAGCAACTTTAACTAGTTACTTCCTGCTCTGTGACTCAGCTGGTGCTGCAGGGAGATAGATCAGTTTGTCTGGCCCTCCTTCGAAAGTCCCCCAAATGACCAGAACCCTGACATGCTCTGGGTCTGGCAGGAACCACCTGTCCTGCACCCTGCTATGAACATCTGTGGAAGTCAGAGTCATGGGGTGTAGTGGAGGTGGGTGTGTGGCTTTAACTTAGCAGCAAGGTTTTCTGATGTCACAAATCATTTGGCCTTTCCCTGGGGGGCAGGGGTTGAAAGATAGAGGAGGGGCTGCTGGCATGTGGTCTCTTGGAAAGACTCATTGCTTTCCCAGTGCTGTTCAGGAACAGTCCTCTTTTGAACCCTGCACTCAGATCCCTGGGGCCCATCTGAGTGGGGATAGTGAGGCCTTGGGCAGGTTCCTAATCTCTACTCCTATGTGAAGTACACATCTTACAGGCCTCCTTACCCAAGGTGGCTGGTGGTTTGGTGGATTGATGAGTCTTGTGTAGTACTTCTCACCCAGCTGGGGCCCCACCTTTCAGGATGCTAGGGGTCCAGCACTGGAGGGAAGAATTGGAAGCAACTTTTGCCCCCCCTCAATCCTAACCTTCTAGCCCTGGAGCCTCACAGAGTCTCGCAGTTTCCACGCAGCCACTAACCCCCCGCGGCCTGGATCTCCAAGGCCATTTAGCCCTTTTCCAATTGCCCTGAGTCTGGGAAAGTCTCTGGTCTGTAGAGGTCAAAGGGCACGGGGAGCAGCCCCCTGGACCCAAGACAGACGTGGAACTACACTACCCAGAATTCCCGAGGATAGACAAAAAGGAAATGTCGTTTTCGCAAGGAGAGACTCAGCTCCCCCAGCAGCTGCAAAGCGGGAGAAGGGGGGAAGACTGGGAGAGAGGGATTACCAGGAGGAGGGCGCGCTGTGTGCGGGAGCGCGGGTGGAGAGCCGGGCGGGCGGGGAGGAGGAGGAGGCGGCTCCCGCCCGCCCGCCGCCGCCTGCGGACCTGCATCCCCGCGGGGCTGGCGAGCGGGCGGCGGTCCCTGTGTGCCGGCTGCGCTCGGGCCGGCGGCTGCGGGCGGACGCGGGGGCCAGGCCGGCGCAGGGGCCGAGTTTCTGCAAAGTTTGACCTGGTTGCCTTTCCGATGCTGCAGCAGCGCGAGGCAGCGCGGGGCGCGCCAGGCGGCTGCGGCGCGGCGGCGGGGCTGAGCGGCGACAGCACGCTCACAATGATCATAAAATAAGGGCGGCGCGTGGGGTGGGGGCGAGAGAGCCCCGAGCCTCAGCCCTCCGCCCCCGGCCACCCCCAGCAGCCCCGAGACAGGAGGGCCCTGGGGCCCGGGGCGCCGACGCCGGCTCAGACCCAAGTAGAGAGAACCGAGGGACATTGCCCGGGGGAGGGGGAGGGGGCGCCCCGAGAACGTGCCGGCGGCGGGGTCGGGGCGCCTGGAGGGCGGCGACCCGGGCGCGCGGAGCGGCCCCAGGGGCAGGTGAGTCGGAGGCGCTGCCCGGGTGGGGGCGTGCGCGCCAAAGTTCCCCGGCAGTGGCGAGCGCGCCCGACGCGCGGGGTTCCGGGGCCGCTAGCGGTAGGGGAGTGGGGACAGGGGTGCCCAACGCGGCGGGGCGGGGGCACTGCGCCTCCTGGGGTCCCGCGACCCCCGCCCGAGAAGGAGCGCGCTCCCGATCAGACCGGTCTGGGGACTAGGACTGCGTCCCCAGGGGACTGGAGGGACCCGGGTGGAGAAGAGGCGCCGGGCAAGTCCTGGAGGCCCGCTGCAGTGGCAGCGGGTCGCCCCCCACCTCACCCCGGGCCGCGAGGGTGTCAGCGGAGATGTCACGGGCGGCGATTATTCGCTGGAGCGCGCGGTGGTGCGGCCGCCACTGACGGGCTGGCGGGGGGGCCGCCGCCTCCGGGGAGACCGCCCAGAGCCGCTCTGTCAGCTCCGCAGCCGGCGCCCGGCGCACACGCGTCGCCGCCCACGCGCGCCCCCCGCAGCAAAGTTCGGCTCAACTTTGACGCTCTATTCCTTCCACCTCCCGGCAGGTCCTCCGTGGCCGCGGCGAACCAGGCGGCGGCGGCCGGAGCGCAGTCCCGGGGCCCCGCACCGCTGCCCCCGGCTACAGCGACAGCGGCGAGGAGCACGCGGCGCGCCCGCCAGCGGGCGCCGACGGGGACCCGGCGAGCGCAGAGCCCGGAGCGCGCCTCCCGGGAGCCGCGGGTGGGCGCCCAGCTCCGGGGCGCCGAGACCTCGGCCGAGTGAACAGAAACCGCTCTTCAATTGACTGGGCCCCACCGGGAGGGCGCGTGTGCCCGGGCGAGCGCGTGCGGAAGGCAGAAGGGCAGGAAGTCAGTCTTCTGCAACGAGGGTGGCGCGACCGCGCGGGGACCGAGCCTTCCTTATTTATGTGTCTGCCAGCGCTCGCCTGCTTCCTCCGAAGACTTCAGGGAGAGTCTCCGAGCTGCCGTCCCCGCGTGTGAGGCCCGGAAGGGCTGGAAGTCAGAACAACATGCCTATCCACTAAACTCCAAACTTTTTCTTTTTTTAACCCAAAGAATATCGGTGATTTTTGTCCACTGCTAGGAGAAGAAGAGAGAGCCCAGGGCTCTTGAGATGCAGCAAAATCCTTATTTATAAACAGGCCCAAGGTAGTGATATGCAAATCCCCTGGACCCAGTGAGTTTTCTATCCTATGGATATCAGTTTTGAGGTTTGAGATTGGATTGCACCTCCCCTCTGCACTGGGTCCCGCAGCCTCCATCCTTTCAATGCCCTGTTTTCTCTGGGACTGCTGGCCTTCCCTGGAGATTAGAGTGGTCCTGTGTGCCATGGGCTGTATTCAGAGCATCAGAGGCAAAGCCAGAGTCTTCCGGGAAGGGATCACCGTGATTGATGTGAAAGCCTCTATCGACCCCATCCCCACCAGCATCGATGAGTCCTCCAGTGTGGTGCTCCGCTACCGGACGCCCCACTTCCGGGCCTCGGCCCAGGTGGTCATGCCGCCCATCCCCAAGAAAGAGACCTGGATTGTTGGCTGGATTCAGGCATGCAGCCACATGGAGTTCTACAACCAGTACGGAGAGCAGGGCATGTGAGTACTGTTCAAGACCCAGCTTGGGGGCTGCTGGTGGGGGTCAGCTTGGAGGCCTGGGGACGGGAGGAGTGGGTTAGAGATCCCCAAGGAGGGGGCCTCCCCTGGCCAGAGGGAAGCTTTAGGCAGCCGTGGAAGTGGCTTCTGCATGGTCTTGGGCCAGGTGACTCCCTGGAGGGTTTACTTGTTGATCCAGACTAGGAATCATGGCTCTAGGACCTACTGGCCATTGCCCCCTGGGTTCCTGTCCTTCCCTCCAAGATGCCAAGAAAGTAGAGCCACATTCCTCCCTAGGCCTCTTTTAGCAAACAAGTGTTCCATCTGCCTGAAGAGTGTCAGGGCCGTCAGGGGTCATCAGAGAGGCCACTGCTCTGCCCCTTGTGCTGGACTCTCGAGCCCTCTGGTTGGGCCTGAACTTGTGCTTTCAGATACACATGAGGCCCTCAGGGGTGCTTGGGAACATTTTGACATTGCAAGGGGCCTTATGTTGAGAGGGTCCTTAGCTTTAGAAACCTGGTTGAAGCTCTCAGCCTCCCAGGCATTAGCAGTGTCAGCATCTGCTGTCCCTTCAATGGAGAACTAACTAGAAACGGCTAAGGAGCCCACTAGCCTCTTTCCTGCAGCCTGGTCTCTGAAATGTTTGTGTGGTCCTTGTTCTGGCATGTTCCTTGACCCAGAAATAGCCATCCCAGGGTAGAAAGGGCCGCTGGAGATGCTCTTAGGGGAAATGACTTGACTTGGTCACCCTGGAACAGGGCTGTGCAAAAGTTGTTTCTGAGCATGAGGACCTTTGTGGGACCTAGGTGAGCCCCAAGGGGCAGGCTGCCAATTTGATGCCCATGACTGTCCCTGGACACAGCCCCATAGCCCTCTCTCAGCACCCACCCCAGGGAGCGTTACTTCCCAGCTCTGCAGGTGAGGAAGAGGCGAGTTTCCCCCAGTGTTGGAGCCCATCACTGATGGACGATCGTGCTGGGCTAGGAGGGCTGCAGACGGTTGGGCACAAATTGTGTGCCCTGTCCACTTAGCGACTCTAGGTTCTAAGGGAAGCAGGATGATTGTGGTAAACTTAAAAAAGGGCTGTAACTGTGATTTCCCAAAGACTGTGGGGTACGCAGGGCCCATGGAGACACTTGTGGGCATCCCTCCAGAAACCTGGTCTCCGTTCACTAGTTCTTCCTATCATAAGAGAGGCTATTAATGCGGTTTAGGTGGGGGGCTGGCTTCCATTCCAGGAAGGAAAACGTGACTCTTGGTTACTCAGGGAGGACCTTTCCTAAGAAGGCTTCAGCCTGGCTTTGCAAAGCATCCGGGACAGTTGTCGACAAACAAAGGTTTCCCTCGGGGGTTTCTGGCTAAGCCTAATTTCTTGCCTGATTTCTGTTCAGCCAGGCTGAGAGTCAGGGAGCTGGGCGACCTCACCATTACTGTGCCAGTCCTTGGTTCCTGGTTAGACAACCTCGTGCATCTCGGACTCTGCGGTCAAACAGACCTGGGCGGGAGGCCAGACTCTGGGATGTGACCCTAGGCGAGTTCCTTAGTCACTCTGAGCCTTGGTTTTGCTTTTCTGCAAACTGGGGCTAAACATAGCCCCTTCCCACGGATTATTTGGAGAACTACTCAAGACGACCTTTGTCAAGCAGTCAGCGCTCAGCCAAGCTGAGTGGACACTCAGTGTAGGCAGCTGTCTTTTGGCATTGCTGTGATTGTGATTCTACTGGACGGGAGTGAGTGACAGTATTTGTAAAGCTGAGGATTTTGGCTGAAACTAGAGTTGGGACAGATGTCAGCTACTACCAGGTCTTCCTCTTTTACACAGGGACTACACCCTAACTTTAAAAATTTAAAAATAGCTCAGGTCAGGGATGGTTTAAGTGGCTAAAGCCATTTTCCGTCTCTCCATTGCCCTTACGGTTTTGTTGCTCTGGGGCGTCTGTCTCCTTGCATTCTCCCTGGGTGCCCTGGTGTCGGGTAGGACCAGCCCTGGGGAAGGGGAGGGCATGCGGCTCCCTGGGAGGGGCAGCACTGGGCTGCAGAAGGTCCCCGGGTGGTGGCTGGGGGGCAGCCGTGGAAGTCCTTCCTGTTCTCTGCACATGGGGATAAGGAGAGAGCTTCCCGGAGGCTGCTGTGAGGATTCAAGGGGAGGACGGGGGCAGGCGACAGCGTAGGAGGCTGCCCAGCTTTTTATCACTAGTCGACAGAATGGAAGGAGAGCTGGAACTGCCAGGCCCCCAGTTCCTGGGCCCTGCTGTGCTCTGTGCTCACCCCGTGCCCTGAGAAGTTGAGGGGCTCTTGGAAGCCTCCTGAAAGTAAATAGAAGCATTTACCTGGGACTTAGAAGAGCCTTCCCATTTTCCCCATCTGAGACTTCCTACGATAACTACTGTTTTTGAGTCTTAAGCCTCAGGTGCAGCATGGGAGAGTGGAGCGTGGAGTCAGTGAGGTAGACCAGAAGCTGCTACCAGCCCAGCATGGTCCCTGCTCCTTGCCTGAGCCAGAGTGGGGTGCAGCTTCATGCCAGGGGTTGGGGGACTTGAGCAGAGGGAGAAACCAAGCAGCGTCACCTGATGTGACAAGCACAAAGGTCCCCAAACATGGCCCAGTGTCTCCTGGGAGGGGTGCCAAATCACCCTAGTTGAGAACCACTGGATCCAACCCAGACACTTGGAATCACTACAGTGAAACCTAGGCCCTGGGCTTCAGTGGCCTGGGCAGGGGACTGCCTGCCAGGTGGCCAAGCCTCCATCAGGGCTTCTGTTCTTCACAAATGGGTTTGTGCTCAAAATATTAATTCCAAATACTTAGCCGAAATCCATAATGCCCCCAACGTTATCCCTGCTGGAAATTAATCTCTAAGCCAGGAGGTGAACTTTTTAGAATGAGATTCTGGGTTAGAAGTGTTTGAAATGGAATAATAAATACCAAAGCTGCCACCTCAGCAACGCCCCGACTTTCACGGAGAGCTGGGAAATGGCGCTTCCCCGTGCCAGCTCGAGAGATTCTATATGGTTTTGGGTCCAACCCACATTGCTTTAAAAGCCAGCCCCCCTCCAGACTGTTGGAGACACCTGCCTCCACAGCCGTCCTCCGCAATTCCTCAACTGCCACCTGTCAGCTGGCGTAGAGCCTTCTAAGTGACAAGTCACAGTTTCTCGCCTGTGTGGGAGACACTCGCCTTGTCCCTAGCTCGCCCTTCTCTGGAGCCCCCAGGGAGCCTGGCCCACATCCAAGGCCAAGGCTAGGAGCCATACGGCTCAGGATTCTGCCATCGGGCAGCCTTGGGTGTGAGGAGAGGAGAGCAGTTCAAACGGAGGGTCCCTTTGGGTTGACAGTGCCCTGTACCCATGTTTGGCAGCAGGTGGGTCTGGCCCCAGGCCCTAGGTCAGTCTCTTAACCTTTTAGAGCCTCAGTTTCCATCTGTGAAATGGGAACGCCAGCTCCTCCCTCGCAGGAGGACTTAGGGAGAAGACAGGCCGCAGGTGCTCAGGGCGCCCCGGGTGCAGAAGCTCCTCCTCCATGACGGCTAGCGGTCTGTCACTGTGAATCAGGATTACTAGTAACGGGTTATCATTCTGCACCACCTGGCAGAGAGCGGGCTAAAGGCTGCTGCACTGAGTCTGCCGCCCATCCCTTGTCCTGGGCTTCCCACACCCTCTGTGGCAGGAGAGCCGGGCCCTTGAGGCTCCTGGGTCTTTCTGGCCCACACGTGTGCTGGCACCTGCTGTCATGGGGTTCCAGGGGCTGGTGGGGAAGGGCGGGCAGGGAGGAGGGATGCTGAGTGGGGGGAGCTCAGCTGCCATGGGCTCCCCTTCAGAGGGTGCTCCCCAGGACCTCAGGAGGGCCTCGTTTTAGGATGAGGCTGCAGCCTCCGCCCGAGACCTGCCAGGGCCTGCCAGAGGAGGCTTCAGGACACAGATCTAGGGGGCCCGGAGGAATGTCCCTGCTGACCACGTGGCCTCTTCCTGAAGCCCGGGGCCTGTGCTTCAGGCTCTGCACAGAACAATTGAGGACGAGGCTTCCTCTCTGTGACCGGAAGGCGGCCTCCCCCCATCTGCTGGGCCCTGGCGGAGGCAAGGGCGGGGTGGGTGGGAGAGGGAAGTCCCTGTGTGGAGGCTTTGGGGTGGGAGGAAGTGGTGGGGGATGGCCTGGCCCAGAGAGAACTCCCCCTGGACCAGCCCTGGCCAAGCAATGGCTCCAGCCCTTGTCCACCTTCCGAGTCCTGGAAACAAAAGCTGGCTGCTCCAGGAGCGTGCAAGACAGCCAGGGTCATCAGGGAGATGACAAAATACTGAGGTCCTTTGTTACTGGTCAGATCGGGCGAAAATGAAAAAGCTCAGTGTGCTTTGGTTAGTGGGAGTACCGTCCAGGCGGTTCTGCCGGGAGGGCTGGCTATTCAGATCTCATACCCTTCAGCTGGGGCGTCCTGCCGGAGCCTGGCTCACAGACCCCTGTGCCCCAACCGGGCCTGGCTCACGGGGGCATCCAGAAAGTACACGCTAAGGAGTCAGCAGGTGCGTGCATGTAGGGGTGGGGACAGAAAGATGGATGTGCAGGGATGCAAACTCAGCACTGTTGACAGTAGCAAAACCCCCCAACAACCCCAGTGTCCTTCCGCAGGGAGCATGGTCTGTCTACAGAGGGAAGTGTGAGGGGCCGCTGGGTGGACTTGGAGGTGTCCCTACCGGGCGGAACGTGATGTTATACCACTGCGTTTGAAGGGGAGTTGTAAGACAATATGTTATAAAGAAAACACTAGACATGGGACATTCAGAGAAAGGCCTAGGGACGGAGTGTGGTGAGTGGCCTCGCTGGGGCAGGAGGGCAAGGAAGAGATGGCTTTTGGTTTTCATTTTATTTATACACTTCTTTAGGGCTTGCTTTAAAAAAAAAAGTACATATTTATAACCGAAAGCTAAAATTAAACAAGCACTGTGGGTCTTCCTGTCCCAGTCGGGTCCAGGGCTGTGGCCTGGGTTAGGAGGGGTGGGGTGGGCAGGAAGAGGGTGGCTGCCCCAGAAGGAGTGGGGTTTGTTGTTGGGGAGCTTCAGCAAAGGGCCTGAGTGGGGGGAAGCCTCTAGCGCCCTCCCCTGGCTGTGAGCAAGCTCTGGGGGCCTGGGAGGTCGGAGCCCCCGGGGCCACCACAGGTGGGGCACCTGGATCCTTGTCCAGTGTACTAGGGGACTGGCTCCTGGCCTCAGTTTCTGTAAAGTTGTACAACTTTTCCAGAATGAATACTTTGCAAATTTTACCAAATTATAAACTGCACATTTGGGGACCAGGTGAGATAATCCCTAAATTCCAATCAGGCCTGGGTGGATGATTGGAACCAGGGCTGGGCAGGAGAGCTGTGGGCCCAGCAACATGTGTGATGCGCGTTAGAAAGCAGGTCTAGTTCCGTATCTCTGCATGTGCAACCTGTCCTTTCAGAGGCGCTTCCTAGGAGAGACTGAATGTAGTTGCACTTTTTAAAAAGTGATTAATTTTAAGGGGAAGAGTTAAATGAATAAGCATGCAGGAGACGCGTAGATGAGACCAAAGTGAAGGGAGAAACCCAGCGATTGGTGAACTTTCAGGCCTGGCACAGAGGGTCCTCTGGTCTTCTGGCTGTGGAGTAGTCAGGACTGGGGACCCTGAACAAAGGGAGGAGGCAGGGCCCTTGGGGGCTTGGAGGGCCCTGAGCCAGCTGGGGAGAAAGCCCAGGCCCCGCTCACCACCCACTTCCTGTTGATGCACACTGTGAGGACGGCCTGGAACCCTCATCTGTACTGTTCTTCAGAAGTCCGGAAAGGGGTGCACCTGTCGGCCTGGTAGAGGTCACAGAGGTGGCAAAGTCACCCCTGTCCTCAAGGCCTTGGAGGGTCTGGGCTGGCTACTGGCTGGTGGCTCCACCTGAGGCCCTGAGCTGAGGTCAACCCACAGGTGACCCTCCACCACTGCCAGTCGAGGCTCCCTCGGGAGCAGCCTCCCCCATCGCCAGCCTCCTGTGGCAGCCTTTCTGCCTCGTTCCGACTCGCACTGGGCAGGTGTGCTGCTTGGAGCCTGAGTGTGGGTAAGCCCAGGCTCGTGCTGTGAGTGCTAGCTGGACCCTTCCCAGGAGTGTGACCTTGAACTGGGCCTCTAACTTCATTAAGTCTATCCCCAGAGTACATGTGGCATCTGGCACATCTGTGTGAATGGCACCCGCTGTCACCACATTACTGTGGTGACAGCCCATCCTGCTAGTGGTGATCCCACCTGCAGCTCTTCAGGGGAGCAGAGGCTCTGAGGAACTCGGGGTGCCTGACACTCCTCATGGAGACCCCTGTGGGGCTCAGGACCCAAGGAGAGACTGTCACTGACAGTCCTCGGTCAGGCCACCAGCGTTTGTCCTCCCTGACTCTGGGCCAGGCTCTGGGATGCTTCCTGGCTGTGTGGTGACGGGAAGACCTGCTCCCTGCCCTCTCTGCCCTTGTGGTCCATCTGGGGAAGAGATTGCCCACAAATGATGGCATAATTATTTAATCACCCTCATGCGTGTGCCAGGAAGCAGCAGGATGGGGATCTGATGGCACTGAGCGCTGACCGAGGCCACCTGGCCCATGGGGAGGGTCGGGGCAGCATCTCTGGGATGCTGGCCCCAGAGCTGAGCGGCGAGTACCTACTAACTGGGACAGGAGGCGGAGGACACTACTCCTGGTCGAAGGCTTCGGGATGGGAGGGGCAGGACCACTGGAGGCACTGAGACTCGGGCCCTGGCTCGCGAGCCCGGGGAGCGGTGTGCGCACGCACTCTGGGCTTCAGCCACACGGGGTTAGGGCCCCGGGCCCCGGGAGTCCTGGCTGGCTTAACAGGGTCGGGGCAGTGTAACCAGATTTGTGTTTTTAAAAGCTCGCAGGAGGCTGGGAGACCAGGAGGGGTCAGGGTCCCTGAAGGCAAAGGAGAAGGGGCCTGTGGAGTAGGGTGGGCCCGGGCCCCTGGGGTGCAGCCCCTCCGTGTGGAACTCACACTTGAAGGCACATAATCTGAAAGCATAAATGAGGGTCAGAAGAGGCGTCTGGTCATCAGGGCTGGCAGGTCTCTTGGTCCTGGAGGCACACCTGCCACTGCTGGCGCCTCCTCCACAGTCTCCAGAAGTTTCCATTGACACCACTGACTGCACAGGCACTTCCAGGAGTGCATTGTTAGGCACAGGCTGCTGACGGAAGGGGGTCTGCCATGCGGTCACGGGGCTGGTGGCTGGCTGAGTTGCTCCCTGTCCCTGGGGCTGCCTCCTGGACCACACTCCCCGCCCCCAGGCCCTGCGATGAAGACGTGGCAGTGTCCTGGGTCTGAGTAATGTGCTGTATGAGATTGCTGCCTGCTGGCTCATGGTGCTGTCACCTGTCTGTGACTGACCCAGGCCTTGGGCTTTAGGGGGCTGGGGCCAGAGAGATTGGCCATTGACGCTTTGGAAGTGACCTAGGGCTGGGCCAGAACTAAGTGCCTTTGCCTGTGTGCTGCCTGCACTTTAGACGGAGGTGTGGCTCAGTGGTGGAGCCCTTGCCTGGCATGCAGGAGTCCTGGGTTCCAGCCCAGCCCAGCATGTCAAAAAACTAACGAGAAAACCAAAACTAAAACCACTTTTCAGGATGGGTCTGGTCAGACCCGGGGCCTGGGCCCCACTACTTAGCCAAATTTCCTGGGAAAAAGTTGCCTTGCCTGCCCCACTGCACGGCTTTCAGGACTTGCCCAGGGTCCCATGCCACCAAGGGGGCTGAGACTGACAGCCCACGGGGTTCCAGACTACGTTTAGGGGCCCCTGCAGAGAAAAGCAAGTCAGGCTGACCACATGCTGGCCAGGGGCATCTGCCCAGACGGTCCTCTCAGCTCCCCAGCCCGTGGATGCAGCAGGGCGTCACAGGTCAGCACGCAGCACTGAGGGCTGGCTCTGAGGCCAGGAGGGAGGGCAGCCTTTTGGGAGGGGCCCTGTCAGGTTTCCTCTTGTTCTATTGCTCCAGAAAAGGGGCCCAACAGTCTCCGCTGCCCCTTCGAGGCAAGCTGGAGAGGAAGAAGGGTTGCTGGTGGGGAGGAAGGGGCACTGCAGCCCCAGGACTTCCCCCAGCGCCGGCTCTGGCCTGGGTGAGAGGGGAGGAGGGTAGAGCTGAAGGGCTCCAGGGGGGCTGATTGGCAAGGGAAAGGCTGGAGTCACCCCCTTTCTTGGGAAGGACACTGAAGCCCAGAAGAGGACTCAATCTGCCAGGGGTCAGACACTGGCCACAAGAGGGGTCAGGCATCATTTCTAGATTGGCTGGCCCATGGGCTCCTGTCAGCCCCTACAGCTGGAGGACACTTCTGGGGAGGGGCACAGGTGCAGGTGGGAGGGGCTGCCGACCTGCTTTCCCTCCTGACATGCTGTGTCCTCTGGGAGTCTGCAGCCTCCACCCTGACCAAGGACACGGGGCCGTGCTGCATGCCACTGTCTCTCTGGTATCTGTGGAGACCCCGCTCTGTGGTCACTGCATTCAGCCAGAGCACGTCTGTGTCATCACTGCCAACTACCAGCAGACCCTAGTCACGGAGGGGCAACCGGAGCCTCTCTAAATCCCAGCTGGGATCAGGCCTGGTCTACCGCAGAGTGGGACCTAAGACAGAGGGTCGGTCCCTGAGGAGTCTGATTTAGATGGTGCTGGAGCACAGGACGTGGCCCTGCCTGGGGTCACCCACCTGGCATCGGATGTCTGTTTCCTACCTGACCCTCACCTAGACAGCAAGCCCCAGGGTCAAAGGACACTGGTGTGCTGTGTCCATCCTATTCTCAGGGCCTGGTCCACTACGACGACAAAGACAAACCTTGCTGAGTGACCGAGTGAGTGACCTGGCCTTCTTTGTCCTAGGTCCAGCTGGGAGCTCCCCGACCTTCAGGAAGGCAAGATCGAAGCCATCAGCGACTCGGACGGGGTGAACTACCCCTGGTATGGCAACACCACGGAGACCTGCACCATCGTGGGCCCCACCAAGAGAGATTCCAAGTTCATCATCAGCATGAACGACAACTTTTACCCCAGCGTCACGTGGGCCGTGCCGGTCAGCGAGAGCAACGTGGCCAAACTGACCAACATCTACCGGGACCAGAGCTTCACCACGTGGCTGGTGGCCACCAACACCTCCACCAACGACATGATCATCCTGCAGACGCTGCACTGGCGCATGCAGCTGAGCATTGAGGTGAACCCCAACCGGCCTCTGGGCCAGCGCGCCAGGCTGCGGGAGCCCATTGCCCAGGACCAGCCCAAAATCCTGAGCAAGAACGAGCCCATCCCGCCCAGCGCCCTGGTCAAGCCCAATGCCAATGACGCTCAGGTCCTAATGTGGCGGCCCAAGTATGGGCAGCCGCTGGTGGTGATTCCACCCAAGCACCGGTAACAGCCAGGACGCCTGGCTAGGTTATACTCACAGACGATGATTCTGCTCAGACAGAACCCAACGCACTGTTGGTCATTCAGCAAATACAACCACTCTACCTTCTCCAGCGGGCGGATCTCACTGTGCTGATGCCCCCCGCCCGCCTCCCGGCTCTCGCCACCTGCTTCCTGTGGGGAGGGGGGGAGACCAGCGGACGGACAGACCCCAGGAGCACCTTCAGGGGCACCCTTCAGTGTCCCCTGGGGTCTCCTTTCCTCTTGACCTGCCGTTCACTTGCAGCCGATCCCTGAAACACTGCTTTTTTTTTAACTCCTCTTTCTGGGGTTCAGGGGCAGGAGGAGGAGGCACTGAGTATGGGGGAAGCCCAGGCCTCGGTGTGTGGGGCGGCTCCCCTCCTCCCTGGTCCTCTGCCACGCGGCCTTATGTAGACTTGCTTTGCCAAACTTTTGCCTTAAGCCGAATTTAAAGGAAAAAAAAAAAAAAGGAAACAGAAACAACATGGGGTCTCTCTCCTACTGGACTGTACCTCTCTGCCAGAGGCGGAGGGCGGGCATCGGGTCCAGGGAGAGAGCCACAGAGCCACCCAGTTGTCTCAGAAGGGGGACAGTGTGGAAACTTAAGCCTGAAACCAGTTGCTTGTCCTTCTGCTCAAGCAGACCCACAGATTCTGCCGAGGGCTGTTCTCTCCACCCTGGGCAGACGCCCTCCTGGTGCCTGCCGGGGGCTGTGAGCTGGGGCGCGTCCGCAGTGGCCTCTCTCTCCTCACAGCCTTAACTTGCCTGGGGTGGCTCCAGAGGAGGGGAGGCCCGGGAGCAGTAAGTGACCCAGGGGATTTTCACCCTCTCCGTCCCCACCCATCCCAGCTTGTCCCCTGCAGCGTGCAGCTTTTCCTGTCCCTCCACACTGGTCCCAGCACCACACGACAGTCCTCATTTGAGTCTCAAAGGTAAGAAAGGCACCTTGTCCCTCCTTTCACTGACCTCAAGACTTGAATCTGGTGGCGCCCACGCCCTTGGCTGGCTGTCCTCAGCCACTGCAAAGGAGCCAGTGCCAGCCTTCTGGCTAATCTCAGGGGACGCACCCCCGGCTCTCTGGGGGAGGCTGCGGACAGGCTCCAAGCCCCAGGGGTGGCGCAGGCAGGCTGTGGGGGGCACCTGAGCCACACCTAGGCACTGTGCCTCTGGGAGGTCTGGGGTCAGCTGAGTGCTTCTCCTGTCCTCCGAGAAAGAAACCTAGACCCAGGGCAGGGAGGGTTCATCAGGCCACTGCAGGGGCTGGGCTGGCAGAACAGTGGCCTGAGGATGGCCATCAGGTGTCCAGTCTTGGGTCTGCTCTCTGGAACCGGAGGACAGGTCTTAACCGTTGTCTGCTGCCCCTGGGCACTCCCAGGGACCCTTGCCCGAGCCAGGCCCCCTCAAGCTTGCCAACCTCCAGCTGCATCTCTGGCCCTGCATTCACACCCACAGTGACCAAGCACAGGAAACCGTCAGACAGGGGAAAACCACCTCTGCTGCAGATGAGCCACTGGCAAGAGTCTCAGTGACAATGTGAGGGGACGCAGGCATGCAGCGTGGTGTTCAGGGAGCCGCTGTCCAGGGCTGGGCCCTCTCCTGGAACTGCAGGTTCCCTTTGTGTGTACAGAGGCCCAGCCACCAGAGAGGCTGTGGCCTTGAGTGGGGAATGGTGGGGTCCCAGCTCTGCCTGCTGGGCCTTCTGGCTGGAGGCCGTTCTCTACACTCAGGTCTTTCTTGCACTAAAGAGGAGACGGGCCAGGGCAAGGTGCCAGGAAGCGGGGTTCTCAGCTGGCCTGGTCATCACCAAGGGTCCTTCTTGGAGTGGGGCTGTGAGGGAGATCCTCAGCTGCTCTGGAGCACTGGGGCTCCTAGGCCTGCATTTCTTGAGTGTGAACAAGCATTTGAGACAGGGGCCACTCCCTCCCCATGCATGGCCTGCCCTGCCCACCAGGGCCCCTGGCCGTCATCCCAAGCCCCTTCTTCTCCACCCTCCTGCCTGACTGAAGTTGGGGCTGGCAAGACCCCGAGAGGGTACAGGTCCAGCTGAGGATGCTCAGCGTGACGTGCACCCAGTCCCAGGCTTCCTGCGGGGCCTCGAGTCTTTGACGTCCCCCCACTCCTGGACACACACTCCTTCCAGCAATAAGAGCCGTCTCTGGTCGTGGAGCATACTGTGAAAGTGATCCTGGGTCCTGACCAGGAGGCACAGGACTCGAGGACAATGTAAAATGAGCCTTTTTTTTTTTTAATTTAAAATAAAAAAAAAAAAACACAATTATAAAGAGAAATAAAGTTAATTTTAAAGTAGGCCTGGCTAGGATCTGGGTGTTTCTGGGGTGGTGATTCATTTCGGGGATGATGGCTTGGTGTGGTGGCCACGGGGCCACTGGTAGGGGAGGACGGTGTGAGGCTGGGGTTCTGGTGCTGAGGACCTGCAGGTGGGGAGGCCAGCCAGTCCCTCAGCACAGCTGCTCCTGTCCACAGCTGGGGGATCTCTGCACCCAGAAGTGCCCCTGGCCAGCATCTAGGTGGAGGAGGTGGTCAGTGCCCTGCATGGAGGAGGGTGGCAAGCTGGCAGTCAAGCTGGGACTTGAGAGCAGCTTGGCTTTGGGACAAACAGCAGAACCTGTTGTCTGGGGTGATCAGAGTTCAGACTGGGTTCTCCTCAGCCCACCCTGTAGGCCTCCAAACCTGCCGGGGGGGGCAGGTGGGCTGTACCCAGGGGAAGTCCTCCCCTCCAGCTGAAGCCTGCTTCTCTGAGGGGGCTGTTAGCTGGGTCTGGGCTTACTCCAGGTGGACCAAGGGGTCAAGGCCACCTGTGTGCAGCTTTGGCAGACACTCAGACCTCATACAGGAAGGGATCCTCAGAGTGGCTGCCTCCTGGCCGACATGGCATAACGTGCCAGGAGGGAACTCACCGCGTCCTACAGTGTCCTCACATAGTCCCACTGGGAGGTGTTACCCACATTTCACAGATGAAGAGATACAGAGCAGAATCAAGGAGCCACCTCAGGCATGTGCCTGTGAAGAGGCAGAGCCAGGATTCGAACCCTGGCCCAGAGCCAGCCTCTCGCTCCTGCCTACAGGGCCTGAGTGGTGACTCACACCAGTTACTACTATTAAGAAGGCCCCAAGCTGTAGCTCCCTCCATCCCGGGTCCTTGGGGCAGGAAATGCCTTTCTCCCCACCCACTTCTTCCCGGAAGTCTCTGTGCGGCCTGTCCTCTGTGGCCCTTCCAGCCGGGCCGTCTAGCTAGGCCGCGGTGGTGGGCGGCCTTCCTGCAGAACTGAGGGGTAAGGGTGCCCGAGCAGCCACAGTGGGCACTGGGATCTGGTTTCTTCTCTGGGTTCCGCACAGCGCTCTGCATCCTGCCTCTGCGTCTGAGAAACCAACGCAGGAAATTGCATAACAGGCCTCATGGCCGCCCTCCACGCCGACAGCTTCTGGGTGGGGCCGTCACTGTCGTGGTTTGGCTTTTGGTTGTGGAGCTGGTCCCTGAGTGCTGCCCACAGAGGCTGTGTGTGTGTGTGTGAGAGACAGAGAGAGAGGGAGAGACGGGGGTGGGGGGGAACCAGGGAACCAAGGGCAGAGAAAGTGGGCCCGGGTCACGCCAGGACGGAGCAGGCACCCAGGAATACGGATCTTCGCGTGGGCACGCGGCATGGCTCCACCTTCAGGAAGCAGACCGTGCTAGGAGGCTGGTGGGGAGAAGAGTGGATTCCGAGTGGCATTTGAGGTGCAGTGGCAGGTTCCAGCCACTCAAGCCGATAGCCGGTTAAATTTAGAAGCTCAGGCTGGGCGGCTGAGAGGCACAGACTCCAGGCCTGGCCCAGCTGTCACAGGTCCCCACCCCCAGGTCCTTGCCTGGGGAGCAGCTGTCTGGGCTGGGCAAGGCCACCTGCCAGAGATGACTATGGGGACCAATGCTCTGTGGCCCCACGCACCTTGAGAGCCACTCCTCAAAGGGGACGAAGACTCATCATAGGCTAGGTCACGGGGTACAGAGGAGCCCCACGGGGTCCCAGAGGCTGGGGTGGCTCTCGGACCCCTCCAACAGCCCGGCATGTTCCACAGCCTCTGCTTTTGTTTCTCTCTTGGTCATCCCCGCTCCACCCGGGCACCTCCCCAGGAGCTGCTCCCCAGATGGCTGGAGACTGGACGTCCAATTAAAGCAAGTATTTCAGCTAGCAACCAGCCACTGGGCACACGCTATCCCAAAGTTGTCCATCCCAAGGTCACACCACGAAGACCCACACCTCCCTGGCAGGTACTTGGCTGCTGCCAATGCCCTACCCTGCCACCATCTGCCATCTCCCCTTTTCTCCAGAAAGGACCTAGGGGCCTACTAAAGGTCACTCAGCTTGAAGTTGCAGAGCTGGGCAGCTCGAATACCTGGACTTCTACTGGCTCTCTGCACTCCTGCACCACAGGTTTCTGGCAGCCCAGTTCTGCAGACTCAGTGGGACAGTCCCCTTGCTCAGAGTGGAGCAGACCCCACCCCCCACCCCCAGTGTGACTGCCAAGTACCGGGCCTCAGCAGCCCTGCTGGCAATGGGACTTTTTTTTTTATACTGGGGATTGAACCCAGGGGTGCTCCACCACTAAGCTACACCCCTATCCCTTTTTATTTTGAGAAAGGGTATCACCAAGCTTCCCAGGCTGGCCTCAAACTTGTGATCCTCCTGCCTCAGCCTCCCAAGAGTAGCTGAGATGACAGGTGTGCTCCTCTGTGCCCAGCAGAAATAGAAAGTTTCAAATGCAAGAAAAGGCATCTGAGCAAATGGATTCTGTCTTTGTGCCCATGTCCAGAAAGGCAAATATAAAGGGTGACCTCGCACCTGGCAAAGGCCAGTCTGGTTCTGCCCACTTGTCTCCCCAGACAGCATGGCTGGGAATGCAGAGATGGGACTATCTCCCCCACTGGCCCAGGCCCAGGGTCATATTTTATCGCAGACATTTGTAATCAGACAGATGAGAGGTGGTGCACTGGGTGTTTATAGTGAGCAGGATGCAGGGAGAAGCCGTGCGCTATTCTTGGCTGGCGAGTCGGCCTGACCTCGCATGCCTGAGCTTCCTAGACCTCAGGCCAGAGACACACAACCCCACACTGGCCCTTCCCTGGCAAGGTGGGAAAGGATGTCACAGTCTTAGTGTCAGACATGCATAGGGGACCCCGCCCCACTCCACCCCAGAGCAGTCATCCTGGAAACCCAGGATTAACCGAGAGACGCCACTAGCTAAATGTGGCTAAACTCATATGCCACATCCAGGTGACCAGGGCCAGGCTTGGTTATTTAGGATTCTTAGCATCCTCAACAGCTGTGTACTGCGTGTCCGTCAGATGGTGAGATGAATGTATTAAAGATATTTTTATTCACAAATTTATTGGGATACAATTCCCTTCCCACCTGTGCAGTGCGGTTCTACGGTTGTTAGTGTATGCACAGATCTATGCAGTGAGTCAGTCCATTCAGATGCTGTAACAAAACACCACAGACTGGCTGCTCAGAAGCCACAGAAACTGATTCCTCAGAGCTCTGATCAGGGTGTGGCCAACTATGTCTCAGGAGGGCACTTCCAGGTTCCTCAGTGGGGGAAAGGTTGAGAGTGTGGGCCCCTGCAGCCTCTTCTGTAAGGACACTGATCCCAGGTGTCTCCCACAGGTCCCACCTCCACACCCTCACACTGGTGATCAGGTTCAACACATGAATTTGGGGGGTGGGGGGGAATACAGACCATAGTACAGTGATCACCAGTCAATTTGGGGATTTTTGTATCATCTCAGAAAAAGAAATGCTGAACCTTTTAGCCATGCCCCTTTCGGTTGCCCAGCCCCAGGTGACCCTTAGTCCACTTCCCATTGCCACCAACTCCCTGTGTCGGGCACTTCACATGGATGGGATCAAGTGTCGTGCTCTTTTGGGCCCAGCTGCTTCGGTAGTCAGCAGCAGCCCATCTCTGAGTCTTGCCAAGTGCTTAGGGCTCAGTTAACATCCACCTCTGTCGCCATTGTTGGACATCCTCAGAGCTCCGCGAGCAGGACCTGGGCCCAGTATCTGCCCCGGCGGGCGGCCCCAACAGGTTAGTCACACCCCCTGAGCATCCCCGGTGACCTTGGAGGTAGAAAGAGGTGGTGACCTTGTGGGGTTGTGTGGGGTCTGAGCTAGGTGCTGTTAGCTCCTTTGATGAAGGACCCCGCCCAGAGCTGCCACGTCACTGCCCTACCCCTGTATGGGCTTCTGGCATTATCTACCATTCTGTATCATTGTTTTTGTGATAAGATACACACAAAAATTACCATCTTAGCTATAAGCGTACACTTCATTAATAAATCTATTAAGCAGGGGCGGGGCTGGGGCTCAGCAGTGGAGCACTCGCCTAGCACATTCGAGGCCCTGGGTTCGAGCCTCAGCACCACATAAAATACACAAGTAAAATAAAGGGGCTGGGGCTGGGGATGTGGCTCAAGTGGTAGCGCGCTCACCTGCCATGCGTGCGGCCCGGGTTCGATCCTCAGCACCACATACAAACAAAGATGTTGTGTCTGCCGAGAACTGAAAAATAAATATTAAAAAAAAAATTCTCTCTCTCTCTCTCTTAAAAAAAAAAAATTAAAAAAAAAATAAAATAAAGGTGCGAGGCAGAGGGCCTCCTGCGCTGCGGCCACGAGGCTTCCACAGTGTCCTCCTGACACAGCACCACCGCGGTGCCACCTGCTGACACACTCCACTCCCTGGGCGGTGACAGAGGACAGTGCCAACTCCCCAGTACGGACTGGTGGCCCCACTGGAACTGCAGGTGTGGGGTGGCCGTGAGATTGGCAGAGTGGACGGTGGCTCAGTGCTAGGGAGCCCAGGACCATCCGTAGTCTCCTAGCATCCTCCTCCCTCCCGGGGAGGGCTGGGGGAGAGGGAGAGCCCTGGGGAAGGTACCACCTCCACACTGGCCAGAAGCCCAGGCTAGAGAACCCAGAAAGTGGGCCCTACAGAGAACACCTGTGGGGACCAGCTTCACCCCACCCCACCCCGCCCAGGCTGACCCCTGCCACAGGGGGTCACTGGCTGCCTGCAGGAGAGGTGGAAGGAAGGGCGGCCACACACCCCCATGTCCACCTGAGTGGGCACACCTGGCCTCATCACCTGGAACCTCACCAATCTGATTAGGATCTCTCTCTTCCACAGGAGCAAGAAGGGGAGGCTTTATTTGGATCTGAGTGACACACAGTGTGCAAAGCCAATGGCCCGACACTTTCTGGCACACGCACACCTGTGGCCACCATCACGGCAACGTACTGAACGTGTCTAGCAGCCCTAAAAGCACCTGCTTTGTCACTACCACTCCCTGGCCTTTCCCTGCCTTCCCTGGCGACCTCTGACCTGCCCCCTGCTGCCAGGATGAGATGGCCTTTTCTAGATTTTTATGTAAATGGAGTCACGTGCGAGGGCTCTTTTCTGTCGGGTTTCTTTCCTTCCCATCACTGCCTTGAGATTCACCCTGTTGATTCCGTGAATTTTCATCCCTTTTCATACCATTATATGAAGACACCACAATCTGGTTATCTGCTTGCCTGCTGATGGGCATCTGCGCTGTTTGCAGCTGGGGCTATCACAGATAAAGTTGCTATAAACATTTGTTTACAAGTCTTGGGAGAGACATATGCTTTCAGTTCTCCTGGGTAAATGCCTAGGAGTGGAATGATTGGTCACACAGGTGTGTGTTTAAGCTTTAAAGAAAGGGCCAAATATTTCCCAAGTGTTATGTTACATTCCAGCAGCTGCACAGGGGGAGTTCAGCTGCTCCATATCCTTGCATGACATGATGTCTTTTTAAACTTAGTTAAGTTGTTATTATTATTATTATTATTATTTAGTGGTAGTAGTATTACTGATAATACTAGTCTAGTAGCACCAGGGATTAAACCAAGGTGCTTAACCACTGAGCCACATCCCCAGCCCTTTCTGTTTTTCATTTTGAGACAAGGTTTTGCTAAGTTGCTAACAGCCTTGCTGAGTTATCGAGGTTGGCCTCAAACTTTCAATCCTCCTGCCTCAGCCACTCAAGTTGTGGGATTTCAGGTGTATGCCACTCTGTCTGGCTAAATTTAGTTAATTAATCAATTTATTTATTTATTTTGGTACCAACGCACTACCACTTGAGCCACATCTCCAGCCCCCCTTTTTTGTATTTTATTTAGAGACAGGGTCTTGCTGAGTTACTTAGGTTAAATTTATTTTTTAAAAGATACTAAAAAAATATAAATATTATACATATTTATGGAGTGCCATGTAATGTTTCAACCCTGTTTTAGTGAGCTTTTGTGCCACTGTGACCAAAATACCCAACAAGAACAACTTAAGGAGGAGAAGTTTACCTGGGGCTCATGTTTCAGAGGCCTCAGTCCATAGGCGGCCAACTCTGGGCCCAGGTGAGGCAGCACCTCCTGGGGGAGGGCCCGCACAGGCCAGCTGCTCAGCTCAAGGCGGCCGGGAGGCAGAGAGACAGAGGAAGAGGCTGCGGGGAAGATGCACCCCTCCAGGGCACAGCCCAGTGACTCACCTCCTCCAGCATGTCCCACCTGCCCTGTCCCGTCCCCGCCCAGTCAGTCCATTGAAACTCGGATGCACAATTGGGCTCCAGCTCTCACAGTCCACTCTTCCACCCCAACATTCCTGCGTTGACAGGAGCCTTTGGAGGAACACCGCATATTCTAACCATAACACATACCTGAGCAATGTTTACATCAGGTGGACCTATCTGTCTTCTCATCATTTCTTCATGGGAAAGACGTTCAGAGTCCTCTCATGGTTCTTTGACATATATAATACATGATTGTTACCTGTAGTCACCCTTGTGTGCAAAGCACACCCGAGTTTCCTCCTCCTGTCTAACTGTAGCTCAGGTCAACCTCTCCCCACCCCTGTGGTTAGTCTCTTTAACTTCCTGCCTTCTAACACACTGTGGTGGTATCTTATTACACTGTCATGTGCATTCCCCTAATGACTAATGATGCCAAGCATTTTTCATCTCTTCTCTAGTGCAGTGGCGCAGGCCTGTAATCCCAGTGCTCCAGAGGCTGAGGTAGGAGGATCACAAGTTCAAAGCCAGCCTCAGTAACTTAGTGAAGTGCTTCCAGGTTCAACCCTCCATACAAAAGAAAAAAAATAAATGAACCCCTATCATTTCCAAGTGCATTTTCTTTTCACCTCTGTTGAAAAGCAAGTCAAGGCACACGTGTGAATCTATCTCTAGACTTCCTACTCTGTACAAATGATCTATTTGATTATCATGATACCAATACTGCTGGCCTTGAGTACTACAGCTTTACTAAGCCTTGGAGTCAAGTAGTATAAGTTTTTCCATTTTGTTTTTCTTTTTTGAAATTGTTTGGACTATTATAGGTCCTTTGCATTTCCATCTGAATTTTAGAATCAGCCTCAAAAAAAAACAAAAAACAAAAAAACAAAAACAAAAACAACGTATTTGGATTGTATTGAATGTATAGGTTGATTTTAAGAACTGACATCAATATTCAGTCTTCTGATTCACAAGTATATATTCTTCCATTAGGTGAGATTTATACCTAAATTTTTGTTATTATTGTTCTATTGATTTTTTTTTTTTTTTTGGTGTTGGGGATCGAATGCAGGGCCTCGTGTATGTGAGGCAGGCACTCTACCAACTGAGCTATATCCCCGGCCCCAATGTTCTATTGATTTTTGAATTCTAATTTCTGAAAATTCACTGCTAGTGTGTGTAAAGATAATTGAATTTTGTATATTGGGCTTATATTCTAAAACCTTGCTAAAGTTATTTACTACTCTGAGTAGCTTTTCTGAGGATTCCACAGGTAGAAGATCATGTTATCTGTGAGGAAAGCTGACTGTACTTCTTCCTCATTTGGATGTCTTTTCTTTCTTTTTCTTGCCTTAGTGCATTGGCTAGACCTTCTGTCCCATATTGTAAAGAAGTGGTGAGGGTAGACATTTGCCTGAGGGTAAAACATTACATCTTTACCATTAAGTCTGATGTTAACAGCAGGTTTTTCTAAGATGTCCTAGATCAGGTACAGGAAGGAAGTTTCCACTTTCTAGTTTGTAGAATTATCAGGAATAAACACTGGATTTTACTAAATGCTTTCTCTGTATCTATTGAAATGATCATATTAATTACATCAATTGATTTTCAAGTGTTGAATATACCCTACTGGTCATTAAAGTTATCTTTTTATATATTATTTGATTTGATTACAAATGTTTTGTTGAGATTTTTTGCAATATTCTGACAAGCATTTGTTTGTAGTTTCTTTCATGTCTTTACTGGGTTAAGTATCAAAGTAATGTTAGTCTCAGAATGAATTAGGAAGTATTCCCTTCTCTTCAATTTTCTAGAAGAGTTTGTGTATAATTCTTCCTCCGACATTTGTTAGAATTCATCAAGGAAGTCATCTGGACCTGGAATTTTCCTCATGGAAAGGTTTTTGATGATATATTCAATTTCTTTAATAGGTACAGGGCTATTCGGATTTCTATTTCTTCTTGAGTGAATTTTGTTAGTATTCTTCAAGGAATGCGTTTGTATCATCCAAGTTGTTGGAGTTTTGGCATAAGACGTTCACAGTATTTGGATGGTCCTTTTCATATATGGGAAGTCTGTAGTATCTTGCCTTTCTTATTCCTGACATTGGAAATTTGTGTCTTCTCTCTTTTTTCCCTTATCAGTCTGGCTTAAGTTTATTAATTTAGTGTATTTTCTTAGAACCAGCTTTTGGTTTCATTTCCCAGCTCAGTGGGCCATTTTCCCAACTTGTGAAGGAAATCTAAGGAATTCTACACAGCAGAGGGACTTTCATTTTCAGATCCAGAGACTCATCTAAAGAATGCTGTCCTGAGGCTGGGTACCAGGTCCACAGTGCAGTAGCTCTGAGCCTATGCATGAGAAGGGTTTTGCTTTAAGTATGAGTAGACCAGGTTTTGTCTTCTTCTCGAGTTCAGCTCTCTCCTACCACTCAAATTTGGTCTTAGCACCAGGAAGAAACCAGGAGTCTTATTTGCAGCATTAATAAACCTACAAATAGTAATGGATCACCACAGCACAGATCCCCAAAGGCACTGTTTCCTGCAGCTAAGTCAAGTGTACTTTGAATGTTCCATTTGTTCTTGGTAAAATTTTAGCAGTAAGACAAAATAAACATCTCTGATTAAGAGTTTCATTGTAGGGGCTGGGGATGTGGCTCAAGCGGTAGCGCGCTCCCCTGGCATGCGTGCGGTCCTGGTTCGATCCTCAGCACCACATACAAACAAAGATGTTGTGTCCGCCAAAAACTAAAAAAATAAGTATTAAAATCCTCTCTCAAAAAAAAAATAATTAAAGAATTTCATTGGAAACCGAATTTTAGGTGAAAATGACAACCTACTTGGGCAAGTGGCTCTCACACTCTATTTTTGAATGACCCACTGAACAGGGCTGTGGCCCTTTTTCTTTCAGAGTCCCCATTCCAGTCACTCAGGTACATCATACTTATTCTGTGGAAGTGAGATGAGCCATCGGAAGGAAAAACACTGTGGGGAAGCCCAGGTGTGTCCTGACATCACCTGCAAGGGGCACCACAGGCCGTTTGCACACTGAAGCCCCACTGAGGCTGTCAAGCAGTTTTAATTTCTTTACGCTGGCAGTTCCCATGCAGGTCCTGTGCATTTTGAGGGACCCCACTTCCACCTGGATTGCTGACAAGGACTCACCCTCACAGTCTCACCCTCCCGGATGTCGCTCCATTGGGGAAAGCTATGTGGTAAGGATCTTAGAGATGCCAGAGGCCACTCGAGACTGACCGCTGGAAATGGCCAAGACTGGGAAGAACAGGGCCTGCCTGGTTTGCACCTCCACTCTACAGCCCCCACCCTCCTGTGGACCTGCCAAAGCCTGGAAGGGTGCAGGTGGTCTGGCTGCTCCAGAGTCCTTGGAGATTGGGGGGCCCTGCCATTGCGAGGCCCTGAGGAGGCCACTTCTGGGAAGGGTTTTTCTGGTATGGCTGAGCATGTGAAGAGAAAATACTGACGCCCCCAGTTAGCCATGGTGCTTTCCTCCAGCTGACCCATCGTGCATGTCTGCCAGGGAGGCTCTTCACAAACTGCCAAGCTCTTGGGAAGGCTGGGCACCACCTCGCCTGTTTTGGAGCATAAACAGCTACCAAAGCAAGTGACTCCCAACTCCTGCAACAGATTTCCCCTAGCTCTGTGATTATGGTCACCTGCTAACGAGTCTAGGAATCACGATGTGCAGTGACAGAAGTGGGCCAGGAGTGGGAAACCCCGCACTCTGGTCTGTCAGTATACACACTTCCTTATTTATACCTCAGCAAATCTAGGTGACTGTATTGTCATCCCCTCTTTTATAGATGATGAAATGGGCTCAGAGAGCTTAAGTGACTTACCCAAAGTCACACAGCTAGGAGGTGACTCAAACCCAGGAGTACCCAAGACATTAACCAATAAACTGTTGGATTGGGTCACTCTCTTCCCTTCTTTGGGTCTGGAGTCCCTTCTGTATCTAAGGAGGGAGTCAAATGGGATGATCTTTAGTCCTAAAACCTGGGCTTCTTTGGTTCTCTGTGGGTCCACTCTGCTCAATGCCCACAGAGAATGTGACCACACATTCTGCAGCCGGCAATGGCTTGGTGAGAAGAGGGCCTGGTGGGGCGTGGCCAGAGCAGCCCACCCTAGCAGCGGCCTAGCTGCACCCTGGGCACTGTGCTCACCACGGGTCCTGGGGTGCTCACGGGAAGTGTGGCACGCTGATAATCGCTTTTGGATAATGACCCTCGTCCCACCATCTGCGAGCTGATGACCACAAGGCAGTCTGACACGGCTTGATTTTAATGTCTCAGGGATGTTTATTTCTGTTTCCAGAGTGGCTCAAAATGGCAGAGGAAGACCCTGGGGCCCGGAGCCTGCAGCCAGCAGAGTGAAGGAGCAGAGCCCCAGTGGGGGCGGGGCGGAGCCAGCTTGAGGAATGGGAGTGAGGACTGGCGGCTCTGGGCCCAGGGACATGGGAGGGAGGGTTCAGGCTGTCCCTGTGGAGAACGCTGTCACATAATTACAGCAATTTCATTTCCTTATATTGGGGCAAATCTGAGTTCCCTAAAACAAACAAAATGAAAGCAATTTAAAAGCAAACAGCCCAAGATTTCAGAATTCTAACTGCTCCTGAAAATGCTCGCTGGTGACAATTAAGTTGTTCCATGGAATCCTAACCTGGGGGCTGGTCTCATACCCTCATGGGCCAGGACAGACAGAGGGGACAAAGTGACCTTAGCCTGAAGCCCTGTCCTTCCTTTGAGGGTCGCTGGGCTCCATGCCTGAGGGAGAGCTGCTGGGTGGCTCTGGGATCAGCTGGAGGCTTGGCAGACATGTGCCCTGCACAGGGGCACAGGGGCCCCTCTGCTGCAGTCTGTCTCTCTCCAGAGAAGCCCCTGGCCCTGCTTATGCCCAGCCTGCCAGGTGTGTGGCACCTCTCTCTGCTTGGGACATCCAAAACACCACGGCCCCAGCCTGCTGCCTGCACTCCTCACCACCTGCCCTTCCGGACAATGAAAACCAGAGCGTCCAAAGCCATCTGCTGGCTTCCCGCCCTTGATCCGTGAGACCCCACCGCCTGCCCCTGGGTTTCCCCTGGGAAGTCAGTCCCTGACTTGCTCTGTCCAGGCTTTGTTGGCCTTTGACATGGCCCTGCCCTTGTGCAGCTGACCACTGGGGTGCTGAGAGGATAGGCTAGGCAAATGAATCAAATAACCAAGGACACAAGTAATCATAATTGTGCTGAGTGCCTCAAAATAGCCGAGCGGCAGGACAGGACAGAGAGCCGGGCTGGCTCCTTGAGCGGTCAGTGGCCGAGAAGGCTTTTAGGGGAAGTAAGGCCTGAGGGTGAGCAGGGAGGGTGCAGGCAGCATCTGGGCTGAGTGTAGAGTCCCACATAGAGCAGCCTGGGCTGGGAGGGGCCTTGAGAGCAAGGGGGACAGGCGAGAGGACAGGGTCAGACCATGGGGCCTGCAAGGATGAACATGGCATCCAAGTTCCCTTCTGCCTTCCAGATAGAAAGCCAGAATCTGAAGGGATTAGGGGCAAAGTCCTGTCTGTGTTCC